AGCAGGGAGAGGGAGAAGGAGGCTTCCCACCGAGCAGGGAGCCCGATGTGGGGCTCGATCCCAGGACCCTGGGATCATGACCCGAGCCGAAGGCAGAGGCTTAACCAACTGAGCCATCCAGGCGCCCCAAAAAGATTTGAGTTCTAATCCTGCTTCTGCCACTTACAGCTTTTGATGATGGGTGTTTACTTCCGTGAGCTTCAGGCACCTCACCGGTCAAACAGGCATAAGAACAGTCTCCTGACCTCATCAGAGTGTTGTGAGAATTCGGGGAGAAACTATAAGGCATCCAGCACAGCACCCTCAGGCACTACACGTGCAGAGCAGGTGATTAATAAACAGTACCCCAAATGGGATTACATAGATAGGAAAGAAAAAGTAGAAGGAACGGTTTCACTGAATCTGAAACATTAACAGGAATGATCAAAGAATCTATCCAGTAAGCTGACTTCTCTAGATGAAAGAACACTGGCCAGAGGAGAAAACAAAAGCTGTACACACTGCCCGTGGGTACAGACAAAAGCCAGCCTCTGAGGCTCAGTGTCACTGTACCGAGGACAGCCACGAGAAGAACCTGGGCACAGCCAGTTGGGGCTGCAGTCCCAGAGGCGGTGAAAGAGGACTCCAAGCCTGACCTGTTGCCAACTTAGGATTTATCTTCTCCCTCTTTCCCAAAAGGATCAGAGCAGATTCTAGTATGAGCCACATACTCCGTTGACTCATTTAAATAAGAATCTAAGAATCAGAGGAGTATAATGAGGACGAGGTCCTAGCCATGATCTGCTGCAACTGCAAATAAAACTTAGCTCTGGGCAGCCAGAGTTAAGGCCAGAAAACTTGCAGACTGATCATTAGGCAGAGGAAGAATCAAGATCGATCAGGAAAGGCAAATTTTCCTAGAACTAAACTTGAAATTTTATAATCAGAATCTGATGCTCAGAATATAATATATCTCCGATGCTTCTGGTTCCCTCACACCTCCCAACCTCCTAATAGAAGCTTTGGCGTATTATTTTCCTCTTCACAGCTTTGCCAATTACCAGCTATCTGACCCAGAACCAACAGCCCTCTTCTCTGGATCTCAGCTTCCTCATCATTAAAAGGGAATGGTGCTCTTGCCTATTTATGAAAGGGAATGGAGGAACATTTGCTAGCATTCACTGGGTACTGGCTAAGCATCAAAATCTTTGTGTACATTATCTCACTGAAATCTCCCAAAAACCACAGAAGGCAGGTCCTATGAATATTTTACAGATGACCTCCCTGAGTCTCAGAGAGGTGGGGACAGCTGCCATTGGCACCCAGCTAAAAAGGAGGACAGGATGAACTCAACTGCATGCTTCTGTGGTACCAAGGCAGAAATTTAACCATGATACTTTCCCCACGTAGCTCAAGCACCTACCAGGTCCTGAGACATAATCGGTACTCAACATATTAGTTCCCTTCCTCACTTCTTCCTTTCTCCTAAACTACAATTATGTTATCTAGAAAATTAAGTTTACTGAAATAATATCGATTTCTTATATTTATATAATTTCTTCCCTCTAAGGAGATCATACGACTTAATCTATTTTCTCTACTAATCCCACCAAATCTCTACCTATCATTATGTATTATTTCACTTATTTTACAAGTAAGGAACTAGAAGGCAGCAGGCTGCTAGGGTGACGTGCCCACGGTCATATGGAAGTCACTGCCAAAACCAAATAAAAACCTTCGTCCTTCTTTATGTCTAAATCAACCTTTATCCTCTCATATGACACTGCCTCCATAATGAAGAACAGATCATTCATTTTTTATCTGGAAAACTACCAAACGTATAATTCAGTAAGGGGCCTCATGACCTTACCACCTTGTCAAAGGGAAGTAAGTATATAAAAAATGAGGTTTGCAGGAGCAGACGGTTTCGGTCCGTCAACTTTCTCTTAGATTACTCCCATTAACCAACATAAAATAATGTAAAATACAATGTAACAGATCCCCAAGACTTTGGAAATTTAAGTAAAACTCACTGATCCTTCAAACTTACATAAAATGCACAAGGGCAATCATTAACTCTGTAGGGCTGCAGAGGTGCACATTATGTCAACTGGATCTTTGAAAGAATAATATGATACACAACCGGGCCACTCTCAGAAGAATCCAAGTCAGCAATGAGTCAGCAATGAGCATTTAGCAGCATAAATTCATAGCATCCAGAGAATTTTAAAGTTCCAGAGGGACGCGGCAGGCCACTGAGAATAATCTCTTCATCTGGTGTACAAGGAAACTGAGGCTCAAGGAGGTTAAGTGGTTTTTCCAAGATTTCACAAACAAAAGAACGGGAACTAAAAAACAAATCTGCTGACTACTATCCATTCCAGTTGCAAGTCTTACATCTGATGTCATGAACACACTTAGCACTTTCCAGGATTACCCATCTATAAAGACAGTGCAGGATCAAGAGCATGTACTCTAGTAACAGAAAAACTGAGGATTCGAATCCTGACTGCAACTTACTGCCCATGTGATCTTGGGCAAGTCCCTTAATTTCTTTGAATTTTAATGTTTTCATCTGTAAACTGTAGGTAATAGTAAACGCCACAGATAAGCTGTAGATGATATAAAGAAGGGGCCTGGCCACAGCCTGTGACCTCCATGAAGACAAACATCAGGTTCATATATGCCCAGCCCCTAGCACAGAGCCTGACACATGATCCATTTGTAAAAATTTGCTGAGCAAATTAATGAACTAACCAAGCAAACAGGTACTGGACTTGAATTCAGGTCTACTTGGTTCTTAAACACTAGGTTATATTGCTCCAAATTCACAGATTTCAAAGCACAGTGTTAATTCTGACTTACAGAACACCGAGAACACAATGGAATAAGACAGCCACTTTCTGGCCATAAAGCAGGAAAAAAGTTTAGTGGACTCTAAGTGTTGGGATTGATTCTTGTTGCTAGCATGGGTACATCATGGGGCTTTAGAATCAACGAAACCTGGGCTTAGGTCCCAGCTTTAGCATAAGCTGACTGATCTCAGAGATATTACTTAACCTCTCTGAGCCTAAATTTCCATACCTGCAATAAACGGATTGTGTGAGAAGTGAGGTAATATATGTAAAGAAATACAGGACGATGTGTAGCATAAAAAGACCCTATTTCCCCTCTAATTACTTGGAGGCTTCATTCATTAATTTCACTTAGGTCTCTGCTCAAATGTCACCTCCTTTTGGGGCGCCAGGCTGGGTCAGTCAGCTAAGCGTCTGACTCTTCATCTCAGCTCAGGTCATGATCTCAGGGTCATGAGATCAAGCCCCACTTCAGGCTTCGGGCTCCACGCTCAGCATGGGGTCTGCCTGAGATTCTCTCTCTCTCCTTCTCCCTTTGCCCCCGCCCCCATGTGTGCTCTCTCTCGCTCTCTAAAATAAATAAGTCCTTTTAAAAAAAAAAAGCCACTTCCTTTCTGAACCTTCCTATCTACAATAAAACCCCCCGATTCCCTATCCCCACACCCCTCTTATTCTTTTTCATAGTTCTTATCATCACACGACATTACATCATGTATTTATCTGTCTTTCTGTTTACTGTGCCTACTCAACTAGAAGGTAAGCCCAGGAGGACAGCAGCTTTTTGTTGTTTATTTTGTTTACTGCTTTGGCTCAGCCACTAGGAAAAGTGCCTGGCATGTAGTTAGTGCTTAATAAATATGTGTTGAATGACTAAATGAATTAATTCAATGTTGATTTGGGATCTGCTGTCTGTGAGGCACTGTGTAGGAAGAGGGACTTAAAGATAATTAGGCGACAAGATGACAGAAGGAGAAACATCTGCCTGCTCTGGAATCTTCACAGGTTTGGAATCTTCGAAGATTCCTAACTCACCTGGGCCATCACGGTTGACTCCTGACTATTCTTGTGTCTACCCTGTCCCCCCATGTTCCATTTGTTAGTCCACAGCCAGAGAGACCCTCAAAAAGTCAACATCTGATCAGATCGCTCTGCTTAAACTCTTCCAGTCGTTTCCCATTTCAATTAGAGTAAAGCCCACATACTCCTTACCACAGCCTGAGAAGCCTCTCCTACCACTCTCTCTGCCGCCCTCCCTGAGTTTCAGAAACACTGGCTTTCGCGTTCTCAAACATGCCAAGGTCTTGTTATTTCTTTTCTTTTTTAATTTAAAAATAAACATACATTTTTACTCACTCAAAACTCTAAGTTCTATTTATATAATTAACAATATTCTGTTCTAATGCCAAATTTTTCAACAAACAAGGACTAATGTAAAAAAATAACTCTTCAAGGAGCATGGGTTGGAGATGACAAGTGTTGAGGTCTATTCTGATTTGGGGCCTTTGTGCTGGCTGTTCACTCTGCCTGAAAAGCTCTTCCCTGAGGCTGGCTCTTCCTCACCATTCAGCTCAGCAAAAATCTTACCTCCTTAAAGAGTCTTCCCAGGCTGAAGTTATCCCTCCACCATCACCCTCATCAAGTTGCTCTATTGGGTCCCAGCACCTTTTCTTTCCTCACAGCATTTCATTATCTGGAATGACTCTATTTATGTGTCCTACCTTTTTTTTTTTTTAAAGATTTTATTTATTTATTTGAGACAGAGAGCATGAGAAGGGGGAGGGTCAGAGGGAGAAGCAGACCCCCCGCCGAGCAGGGAGCCCAATGCGGGACCTGATCCCGGGACTCCAGGATCATGACCTGAGCCGAAGGCAGTCGCTTAACCAACTGAGCCACCCAGGCGCCCTGTGTCCTACCTTCCCAACCAGAACACATGCACAGACAAGGACTTTGCAGGTTTACTGCTGCATCTCCCAGCGCCTAGTACATAGTAGGCACTCAATAAATATTTCTGAATCAGTAAACTGGATCTCAAAAGATGTTGGAGTTTGCCAGAATGAGAGTACAGGTAAGGTATGCTACCAGCCTAACAGTATCTTGATGTGTTGGTTTCCTTCCAAGGACAACCACCCTATTCCACCAAAATATGTGAATTTTAACCAAACTTACTTGGGAATGGGTACCCGAATTAGCGTCCCTTCCACTTCTGGATTCAGATTCATTCCACTTTCTCTTATAGCCTTGACAGCTGCAGCTGTACACTGAAAACCAGATCAAAAGGTAAACAGAATTAGTAAATAATTATTACCAGATGCAAGCCCTCTGTCGATAACTGGCAACCCATCTTGGCAGAACATGGAAACATTTAGTTCTGTTACCAGTAAGATCAGGAAGTTACATTGGTGTAGAGTGCTTTGATCAAGCTGAATAGCAAACTATGTCCACTCCTAGTACCAGTGTACTGCGGGAGGGAAGAAAAGCAAAGAGAAGGAAAAAATAAAAAGAAAACAGCTCTGCTTCTTTGAAAAGATTTCAATGGTTTGAGGCAACACAGATCAAAACCACAATAAATCCTCAAGGGAGGGGGGCTGGTCTGTGCAAAGATTGGTGTAAAGACAGATGAAAGATTTTATACATTAAAAATTCCAGTTGACATTTTACACTCAAAATATACCAGTGCCGATTTGGAATGAGTAAATAAATTTAACTCATTCGCATCTACATTCACACCAACCTCACTCACGTTTTGGAATGAGCAATGAGTCTCTGCTGGTAGGTGCTCTAGGAAAGGCAGCATGGGCTTTAGGGTCAGAAAGAGCTCAGTCCAAATTCTAGCTCCACTAACCATGTGACCCGGGCCAACAATCCTGACCTCTCTGAATCTCCATGTTGTAATCTAAGACCACAAGGCACCTAAACCTCACAGAGGATTAAATGAGATAACATGAACAATGCCCTGGCTCTGTGCCTGGCACACAGTGACACCCAGGCAAGGGGCCTTATCATATGAACTTATTATATAAAGGTAAGAATGCACAAATCCTCCGAACAAGGCTGAGTTGATGTCATCACTCAGCTGATGCACTGCTGTCCCACCTGACATCCTTCAGGTTCTTCTCCGATACAGTCTTGCTCTCTACTGGGCTAGGTGGCACAATGGTACATTGATTTCCCAAGGTGTGGGTCACCTCACCTCAAGCAACAGTATAACTACACCTGCTATGAAATCCTAAAGGATAAAATAAAGCAGTGTGGAAGAAAGTTACTTTCCTTGACATCACAATGTGGAATTCATGAAAAAAGGCCTCTGACATTTTCAAAGAATTTCACGTTTGACCAAAGCCAATCTACTTCACTTGGATTCACAGGGCCAATTCTTGACCTCAAGTTCCTCCCTAGACTTTGTGGTTTAATGACTGCACACCTATTTTACTTTTCTAGGTTTTGTTTTGATTTTTGAGAGAGTACCTAAAAAGCTTATCCATTTCATCTTAACATGATCTTAACTCTACAGGGACTTAAGGTGTTACCATAAGGTCAAAAAGACAAACCGGAAGTCCACATGCAGATGAATCATCCCTTTGGGAGGCTGTACACAGAATACAACAGTGTAACCACTGCTTAAAATAGTAAATTCTTAAAATGGTACCTCTAACCACAGACTACTGGAGCTGGAAGGGATCTCTGACATAATCAAGTACAGTTCCTTCCGTATGTATACAGGGACCCTCCACACATATGCGGTCTTCCCTGAGAGCCAAGAACAAGGGAGCGAGGACCTTGCCCACATACTTCCGATTACTGGCCAAGTTAGGAGGAGACTCCGGGCACCTCAACTCTCCATCCAATGACATTACTTCGAATTTTCTTCCAGATCTATTAGCTCACTGTATTCAGTAATTGAGACATGGGGAATTTGATTTTTTTTTTTTTTTAATAGCCAAAAATAGGAGTGCCTGGCTGGCTCAGTTGGTGGAGCATGCGACTCTTATCTTGGGAGTTGTAAATCACATTGGGTGCAGAGATTACTTAAAAATAAAATCTTAAAAATAAATAAATAAATAAATAAATAAAGTAGCCAAAAATAATTTGGAATTGGTCTGGTGTACAAAGGGAACGGTCAAGGTAAATAAAAGAGCTGGATAAAGAAATGAAATTTTCTTCCATTTCTAAAGTTAGCAATAAAGGGAGAATCTCTACTTTGAAGTGACCTGATCTCAAGTCTCCGAAACCCCCTTTTCTGAAGCTTCTCCCTGAATGACCGAGAACTCAGCTGTCACATCCCACCGCCATCAACTGCCTTTGGCCGTCTGGTCCCCAGTCTTTCCATACAACCTTCCCCCATAGGCATGGGAACACCCACAGCTGCTTCCAAGCTGGGCAGGAACTATGCCTCAATATGTACGTCTTCCCAGTATAATTACAGTGCCAGGTACATGGTAAGTGCTCAGTAAACATACGTTGAATAGGTAGATAATGAACTGGCTTAGATCAGTTAGAAAAACTCAACTCCTTACTTATACTTCATGTATATAACCCCCCTAAAACTTTATATTATACTTTACTTGTTCTGTCCTTTCATATGCAGAAAAATTATGAATCAAGAGAGGTTTCATTTGCAAAAAACCTATTAAAAGAGGTACTTCTTCTAAAATATTCTAAATATGTAAACTTTCGTTTGATATGGTAGGATACAGAAATTCAGGGAATCACAGTTATTTTTCCAACATGACTTCTGAACTATTCATGGCTCAGACAAAAAGGCACTTATTTCTACTGCACTTCCATCTCAGCCTGTACCCCCTTACTGAAGGGATGCTGACCAGCAAATGGGCTTTTCTCAAACAGCAACACTGACCAACTGGTTGTAGCTGCTTAGAGTACTGTGTGGAGAAAGCTCATCGACCCCATCTAGGGTCAGGCAAGAAAGAGTCCTGTGATCAATTAGCAATGTCTGCTATTGCTGTTCTTGAGCTAATCTAGGTTAAAGGATGAAAGATGATAAAAGTTTTGTAGACAGGTGAACAAGAACTTTGACAATGTGGGTCCAAGTCAACTTTGCTAGGGCCATTTTAATTACCGGCCTTCCATTCTCTTTATATCCCAACGAGTCCCTCACGTGCAAGGTCTATGAAGGCAGGAACCCTGGCTGTCTTAATCAGTGAATTCCCAACACCTCAAATAGAGCCTAATAACTCGCAGAAACTCAATAAATATTTGCTGAATTACTTACTGTAGGAATGGTGAAAGGAACACAGGCTTTAGTGTCAAAAAGACCCGTGTTCAAATCTTGACTCTATCCTTACAGTGTGAACCTGGGGAAGATATTTAACTTCTCTGAGCCTCATCTATAAAATGGAATAAATAATGCTTCATCTTAGCAAGGACCTATGTCGATCACTGAACAAAACAGGAGAAAGTAATGCCTGGCAACATAGTAGACACTCAATACACATTAGCTTTCTTCCTTCCACAAGAACAGGAGTGGAGCCTGTAGATTTTTTCTTTTTTTTTCATTTGCTTTGTTCAAATCAAGCTGTGGTTTTGACTCCCTTCTTTCCTTTCCCATCATTAACTCTAGCTGCAGGCAAGTTTATGGAAGGCAGCAACAGTGTGTATCATTTATCAAGCAGGACACATGTTAAACAAATGCAACACAGTTTTCTGTCCTCAATGCATTTGAAAAGATTATGCATGTAAATCTGCATCATGTCACTACGGCACGACACAGAAACGCTCAGGTCTGGAAAGAAAGCCAACCGCATCTGAAACAGAAAGGAATTACATAAACACAGAGGGGATTAGCTCAGCATTTTGAAGCTATGAACCTGGGTACTCTATGGACAGTTTCTAAACTGGAGGAAGGAAATGTTTAGTTAGAGCTATTTGTTTAATATATACACCAGATGAGATAAAGGAATTCAAAAGACAATGTAACTCACACTTCCTCACTCCGTCCTTGTAAAAAACCTCTCTACTGAGATGATTATGAAGGTTTTGGTTTTTTTTCAAAACTCACAGCATTTCAACTTAAGAGAAATGGCAAAGATGCTTTGGTTGAAAAATGTGAAGATATACTCCAACTTCCTAAGAAAAAATTAAACTGTTAATACTTCCTCCTGCCTCATAAGATGCTCTGGTGGCCAATCAGGTGCTTCTTCTGTGAATGCCATTTGCTATTTAATAACAGAAGTGGCTGGCTCTGAAAAGCAGTCTGCCTGATGAGGTCTTCAAGCTGTGTAATTAGGAGGCTATTCCCTAAATTGGCTCGCGGTGCCTATGGGATTAGATGAACAAGGCAGAAGGCCTCAGCCATTCAGAGGGAGCCAGAAAGGGAAAGAGTTGACAATTCTCTTTTCGTCCATTTCTCTGCTTCTCAGTAACACCAAGAAAAAGTGGCCTCTTTCCATCAATCTAATGACCAGTATTCATGCACCTGAGGAAAAGTGACTGAGTGCTTCCACATGCCAGGCACTGTGATAGGTATTGGACACAACGTTAGATATGATTCCTACATTCCAAGCTTACAATCTAGTGGATTTGAGATGGAAAATAAAGATGTAAATAAATGCCTAACTGTTAATGATGAGTGCAGTGAAGAAAAAGAACTGAGCTATGTAAAAGAGGTTAGTGTGGACAAATAATTTAGATTAAGCACATTAGGGAAGGCTTCCCTGAGGAAGTGCCATTTAAGCTGTGATCCAAAATATGAGTAGCAATTAGCCACACAACAGTGTTCTAAGCAAAGGGAAGAGCATATGCAAAGACCCTGAGAATGCAAAGGGTGTGGTGTGTTTGAGGAACTGAAAGGCCAATGTGCCTAGAGAGGTGTACAGGGATGAAAGTGGCATGAGACTAGAGAGATGAGAGACAGGCAGGGGCCACATCATAATGTAAATCCTTCTAGGCCACAATAATTTTTTTCTTAAAGATTACATGAAGCCCCTGAAAAATTTAAAGCATAATGACATAATCTAATATATATTTTTGAAAGTTCACTCTGGCTGAGGTATGGAAAATGGAATGGGGGAGTGGTAACAGCCCCCCCCCCCCCCCCGCCAAGTGTGCCTGGAACATCAGCTACAGTAGCCCTCTGATTTGAAACAGTTTGTTCATAGCAAGGGCTTTCCCTTACTCATACTTCTAATCCAGTTTGTCAAATCCAACAGGTTCTACTTTGGTGTCTGGAATAGAACTACTGAAAGAGACCATCGGAACAGGAAGGGACCTCAGATTCCTTCACCTCATATTAACAGATTAGAAAATGGAGGTCAAACAGTCAGCTGGAAGGAGAGGTGGGACTGGGTTCCAGGTTCTCCAGGACTCCCAATCCAGGTCAATTCCTACTGGACCAACAAGTAAAAGCCCATTTATTTCCTCAACTAGACTTAAATCATAGCCTCAAGGTTGCAGTGATCTAATGCAACCCATTTTACACCTTGGAAGCTCTGTGCTCTGTGCAATTCTACAATGACCAGTCCAGTTTGAAAGGAATATGAATTCCGGAAGGTCTGCTCCAAATGGTAATGCAAAGATCACAAACTGGAGGCCCATAGGCCAAATCTGGCCCATGAATATGTTTTGTCTCATGGTCTTTAAAAAAAAAAAAAAAAAGTGAATCAGTTATCAACATTTAACACTCTTATATAAAAATTTGAGTTACTGGCTTCATCTAGAAATAAAAACCTTAATATCTGATAACACTGATGACCAGGTCTACATTTCTGCCTAGCAACGATCAGCAGGAGCTGGGCAGAGGCTGCTCCCTTCAGACAGGGCACAGGTTCTCCTGCTTACTCCAGCCCCTTCCATCTGGCTAAGCGCCAATCACTGCATCGCCACTATTGTTTTTCTTAGATGGAGCCTGTTTCAGTATTTAAATTACTTGCATGGCCTTTTAGTGTTTGAGTTTAACAGAAAAGGAATTTAGAAACAGGAAAAGAGAATTTCCCTAAATCCTGAAGTTCCCTTTATTGTGCCTTCTCTCTTGTTTCATCCCAAGCTGGAGGGAATACTTCCTCCTGACTTGACCCAGCCTCCTCCACTCCAAAAGAGACCATGAAGAAGAATCCTTTTTGGCAAAGCCACCTCACCTCTGGGAAGCTGGCCATATTCACCAAAATCAGCTGTGGCGACTTCATAGAGATCTGGCCAATCTGGTTTAAAGCAAGCTTCCCATCAGCAGTTACCACAGTGATATGATCAAGGGATCCTAGAAGAAAAGTCACAGGGTGTTAGAATTCAGAAGGATTTTAACAGCCCCACATCTAAGTCCCTACCTAATTCAGATTCAGCGAATATTCTGGGATCCCTTATCAACGTGGCAAGACTGTTCAAGGGGCTTTGTAGAAGCAGCAGTGTCACATGATGGAAAGGGCTCGCACATGTTGACAGAATGAGGACTTCCTTACCATCCACGAGGGTGGCCAACCATAAAGGGCTCATTCTGAGACACAAAGAGAAAGGTAGGGAGGAGTCCTTTTAGACAAACTGGGTGTTGTCCCAGCAAACTGTTGTTAGAATAATGAAGTACTTTTATGGCCCAAAGATCCAATTTGAAGTATTCAACCAGTTTAATGTCATCACAAGCAAGGAGGTTGTTGATACCACGGGCTTCAATCTGGAAGAGTCCAGGATGTATAATGGTAAAAGTCTCTATGATTCTGAAGACCAATGATCTGGGTTCAAATACCAACTCTGCCATCTCCTGATTCTTTGACCCTGGGCAGATCTCCTCAACCTTTCAGCACCTGTTTCCTGAACTCTAAATGGGGCATAAAAATTGTACTTCTCTCATAGTGTTGTTAATGAGGATTCAGTGAAAGAGTTTCTGGAAAGCACTTGTAACTGTATCCTGGCATATACAAGAGCCCAATAAATGTTAAATTATTTCTTGACTTTTTCCTAAGTTTTAACCAAACCAACCTACTTCCAATTTCCCTAATACAGTCTTCTTCTTGCCTCAGGACTCTGAATATATATTTTTCTTTCTATTGAGAATGTCCTTCTCTGTTCAGGTAACTCGGGCTCATTCTTTAACACTCAGCTATAACAGTATCCAATCTCAGAAATCTTAACTGACCTTCTGGGCCGGATTACAAACCCCTTATGAGCTCCCAAGGACCCTATGTGCTCTTCTATAATAATCAGTATTTGCTGAACATTTTCTATGAGCAAGACATTGTGCTGAATGCTTTCTATAATTTGGTTGCTTTCATTATCACAGTAACACTATGAAACAGTACCACTATTTGTTGAGATGAGAAAACTGAGGACCAAACAGTGACTTGCTCAAGGTCACAACAGCTCTTAATAATGGAGCCTAGTTTGGCTAACTCTAAAGGCATGGTCTTCACCACTCTGCTTTGCTATATGGTTTTGTCCATGTTGGTTTACTTGTCTATCCCTTCACATTAGGCTCGAGGCTCTTGAAAAGTGGGAACGATGCCTTTTCTCTATCTACGGCACCTATTCACCAGCACAGCATTAAGTGCTCAATAATGTTTTGGTGAATACATGAGTGTGTAGATGGGCAAATGAATGGAAGAGGGCAAGAACAAACACGTGGATAAATCTGTACCTAGACAACTATCAAAAGCAATCAACTACCTTGGAGACAGAACTTGCTGGTAGACGGACGGAGGTGTGAAAGGAAAAGCGCCTGCTGGCTCAGATAGTAATGAAAGAGGATATGGAAGAATCTGGCACAGAAAAGACTGGCTGAGTTCAGTTTCACCCAGTCTCTTCATGGCCCCAAGTTCTATGGAGAACGTTACACAAACATAACCTTGAAGAAAAAGAGGCAAAGAGGAAATACCAACAGGAGGCCTTTTGAAAATGGATCTTGACTCAGCCTTCCTGATTTGCCATAAGATCCTATGCCACAGAAGTTGCAACATGGGCTTTTCAGTATGCAATTGTGGTGTTTCCCGTTCCCTAAATCCATAGCGACATAATGCATCAAATCCTTTTCCCTCAATCTGTCCCCAGCGAGAATCTCCCTCAGCCTCATTCCTGCCCCTCATTTTCTCAGAGGTTAACATTTAACAAATTACACTCCCAACCTCTTTCCAGGCCCATCATCTTTTTAAGTTCAACAAGAGTAGAGCTTGCTGGCTAATTTTAAGTATCACATTTCTCCCTGAGCTCCTCTCAAACTGCTCTCTGGTTTCGGCTGCAGAATGTTAACAGGCCAGAAAGCACAGGGGAGACAAAGCACTTTATCAGTTTCATACCTAAAATAATAAGCAAGTTTAAAATAAACAGTTGGGAGAGATTGAATGGCACGCTCTACTGTCAGCAAAGGCAGAAATGCCCCAGTCCAAAGGTTGACAAATGACGGAATGGTCTTCTGATTTCACATAGGATCTCGTCTCCCTGAACTCAGTATGTTTCTGCTGGTGTTTATAAATGGAGCTGTATATTTTTCACTTGGTTTTCTTAAGAACAAGCTCACGAAATATTTTCTAGTTTCCTTAGGAACGATCCCAACCAAGATGTGAGTAGGAGCAGCCCAAGCTCCCACAGATACGTTCGGAGGGGGTCCCAGGCTTGACTCTAGGATGATGACAGTTTCCAAAAGGCCAATTTAGCAGCAATTGGATTTTTCCTGCCTGCCTGCACCATTAGCTGACAACTCACTTCTTCCATCACATCTGCAAACAGTTCTCCTAGACAGTTCTGACATTTCCCACTTAGAAAAGCCACTTTCAGGAAGTTATTAACCCAAACGGAATCTTCCTGGTCAAGCTCAGGGGTACAGAAATGCCTCAGATGGATAGGTTTGCAGCCACTTGGTTCCCAGTAAGGGATAAGAATGGCCAAATAGGACAAACTGCAAAAGTCGGACCAAAGATGTCGGTTACTGTGAGATTATATACCTAGAAGTGCTTATATAGTACAATCTTAATAAAACTCCCATTTTTTGAGAGTGCAATTCCGTGACAGCAAAGACCATGCCTGGTTTTTGTTCACCACTGTGTGCCAGCACAATACTTAGTTCACAGTAGACAAATATTTGCTACATGGATGGATAAAGTAGTGTTAACGATGAGCCAGGCACTATGCTCCAACCATTCCGCACGTTACCTCATTTATTTTAATACCTACCCCAAAGCTATAAAGTGGGAATTTAGACAAGGAAACTGCGGACCAGAAAAGTAAAGTAACTGCCCACGGTCACCAGTGAGCAAGTAATAAAACCGGGACTGAAACCCAGCTCTGCCAAAGCCATGATCTTTCCACTCTGCCCCTCTCCAAAACATTGGTTCAGCCACTAACCTGGTGAGGTCCTTATATTGACAGTCTTATTGAAATTATCTTTGAGTACTTCCATCACAGACTTCATTTCTTCATCCACCTCTTCCAAGCTGATTATATCCTCAACCAAGGCAGCATTAAGATTCACTCTGGTTTGGAGTTGTCCTTTCCCTTTGGCTAGGAAGTCAACAATCAGTGAATAAAAGAACAGCAGCAGACACAGAGACAATAAACAACTAGTGAAGAAGTGCCACTAAGTGCAGAGAAAAATGCCAAGTGCTAAAAGATTATACATTATCAGTGCCCTAAAAGAGAGCCTACATTGACTGTCCGCTAGGTACCCAACACTGTGCTAATCACTTTCTGAGATACTAGTGAAGGCACTATCTTTATAATGACACACCTCAGGTGAAAATACTGGCTATGATGCACACCAGTTTTATGACTCTGGGAAAGTTACTCTACTCTGCTGAGTATCAGGTTCCTTACCTGTAAAACAGGGCTAATACCTATATTGCCAGGTTGCTATGATACAAATTAAGTAATTCAAATACCTAAAAGAACACTATCCATATGGCAGGCACTCCATAAATGAATTCCTTATTTTTTAGAAAAATAAACAGAAGATGAAACAGGTAAAGTAACTTGCCTAATGTCACAAGGTCATGAAATAGTAAAGCCAAGATTTGGTCCGGATCTGCCCAATTTTAAACCCATGAACTTTCCATTAGATTGTCTCCAAAAAATCTAATTGGAGACACAGGAAATACATTAATTCATTTTAAAATGAATACTAAGACAGGATATGCAAAGTATCTGATAGCTGGGATGGACAAAACGAACAACAGTAGTTAACGAACATTAAAACCCACCAGTGGTAATAAAAATGGTTATATTTCAGAAAATCAACAGCAATGGGGGCTGAATAAAATTAGATTTTATGCCTAAGCCACCATGGTGATTTTTCATATATGTTCTATAGATATAGATCACTTCCATGAGTAAAGCAAATATTCCTGCCTTTCTTCATGGAAGGTGAGTGAAGGGAAAAAAGAATAAAAATATTAAGTAATACTATCCTACACTTGTTAACTACTCAACAAATATTTATTGAGATTCATTCATAACAAATTTTATTGAACATCTACAGTGAGCTAAATCCTGTGATATTTGTACAGCACATCATAATTTGCAATGCAATTTAAAGTACATTCTTCTATTAGAGAGTCAGAGCAGCTCCCCGAGGTAGGAAGAACAGAGATTATTATTGTCCCCCTTGTACAGGGAGAGGAGATGAGAAATTTACAGCACAAATCATTTAAATGTTTTCCCCCAAGTACCAACCAGTAAGCAGCAGAGTGATTTTTTAAAAACATGTATTTGCTTGTGTCACCACCATGCTTGAAGCCTTATTGCTCTTAACAGAACAATGGCTTAGAATTTTCAAAACTGATGAAAGATGGGAATCTTCAGATTCACAAATACAGGTTCCAAAGAGGATAATAAAAGTAAATTCATACCTAGACATCCTGTGAGTGCAGAAAACCAGGGACAAAGAGGTATTGAAAACAGCCCAAGATAAAAGACAAGTGATCCATAAAGGATCAAAATTCAGAACAACAGCATACTTTCAAAGAACAACAGGAGCTAGAAACAATGGAAATAGTATCTGCAACTTTAGATTTTTTTAAACTAAGAATGCATGTTAAAAATTTTAAGTTATGCCTATCAGTATCAGGACGGATATATGAATGAAATAGTATATAGCCATGAGAAAGAAAGATCTACAACTACACAGAAGAAAATGATTCTTACAAACATAACGTTGAGCAAAGAGGCTAGACACCAGAATACAGAGTGTGCATACAAGAGCCAGATACAAGAATGTACAGTACAAGAGACAAAACTAACCCATGCCATTAGAAGTCTGAATAACAGTTACCTGCAAGGAGTAGAAGCTGGGAAGTTACTAGAAGGGAGCATAAAGGGGACTTCTGACATGCTGAAAATGTTCTGGTTCTTGATCTGGGTGCTGATTACACAAGGGTTTTCAGTTTATGAAAATTATCAAGCTGCTTCCTATGACAGCTGTACTTTTCTATAGATGCTTTTTAATTTCTATAAAAAGTTAAAAACAGAAATTAAGGGTAACTACTAAAACAATAAGAAATAAGATGTATAACTTCCAAATCAGCAATGATGAAAAAAGAGAAATAAAGAAATCTGATTAATTCAATAGAAAGGAGGGGGAAAAAAAGAAACGAAGAAAACTATGATAAAGTACAACATAAAATGATACACAAATACTCAGTAAACACAAGAAATATAAACAGACCAAGAAGATCATTTAAAAGTTAGAGATTCTTGGGGCGCCTGGGTGGCTCAGTTGGTTAAGCGACTGCCTTCAGCTCAGGTCATGATCCTGGAGTCCCGGGATCAAGTCCCGCATCGGGCTCCCTGCTCAGCGGGGAGTCTGCTTCTCCCTCTGACCCTCCCCCTCTCATGATCTCTGTCTCCCATTCTCTCTCTCAGATAAATAAATAAAAAATCTTTAAAAAAAAAAAAAAGTTAGAGATTCTCAGTAAGAACTTTTTAAGTCTAGTCATATACAATACATAAGAGGTTTTACAAAAACATGAGATTACAGAAAGTTTAATGTATAGGAATGGAAAAATTATAACCCTGGCAAATATTAAATAAAAGAAGGCTGATGCAATTACATTAATACCTAAAAACAGATTTTTTTTTTTTAATATTTTATTAGAGAGACACAGCGAGAGAGGGAACACAAGCAGGGGGAGTGGGAGAGGAAGAAGCAGGCTTCCCGCCAAGCAGGGAGCCCGATGTGGGGCTCGATCCCAGGACCCTGGGATCACGACCTGAGCCGAAGGCAGCCGCCCAACTGACTGAGCCACCCAGGCGCCCCGTAAAAACAGATTTTAAGACAAAATGCATTATTAGAAAAAATGAAGACCATTTCATAATGACAGTAAAAACAATTCACCAGAAAGATATTACAATTCTGAGCTTAAATATACCCCATAACATAGCCTCAGAATTAACGGAATGAAAAGGAGAAACTGATGAATCTATAATCATACAAGGACATCCAAAATATCTTTCTTCATAACTGATAAATTGAGCAAATAAAAAAAATAAATAGAAAATTTTTGATCAACAAAATTAGCCAAATCAATCTAATGGTCATATATACAATCCTGTACCCAGCAATAAAATATGCATTCTTCTCAAGCACACTTGAACCTTTATACAAAATAACCATGTTCTAACCCACAAAGCAAATCTCAATAAATATCAAAGAATCTATATCATATAGAACACATTCTCTGATCGAAGTGGGATTAAGCTAACTCTCCAAAAAGCGTATGTTTGAAAAATTTTAAACACTTCCAAATAACTCATGGACTACAGAAACACATAATGAAAACTTAAATTATTTAGAAAAAGGCAATAAAAATACTGTATATCTAAAATTTCTAGGAGGCACCTGAAGTTGTATTTAGACAGAAGTTTATAGCTGTACATGCTTATAAGAAAAGAACAAAGGTTGAAAATTAATGAACTGTCCAGTTCAAAGGATAGAAAAAGAAGGACATGGAAAAAAATAAAAAATAAAGGGCAGGAATCAATAAAACTAAGAAAAGAGAGATCACCAAAATTAAAAGCTCGTTTTAATAAGGCTTATGAAACCAACAAACTTCAAAAGGAAAGTAGACAAATCAATATTAAGAAAGAAAAGGAGGAGACAGTTATCAAAACATTAGAGATTTTAATAATCTTAAGAGACTATTATCGACAACTTTATGCCAACAACTTTGAAAACTTAGAAATAATGAAAAATTTCCTAAAAACATATAATTTACTAAAACTAACTCAAGAAAAAAGAGAAAATCTAAGCAGCATCATAACCATTAAAGAAATTGAATCTATGATTTAAAGTCTGTCCACATACAATACCAGGTCCAGATGATTTCACAGGCACGTTCTACCAATCATGTAAAGAACCAATTAATCCTGATCTTATCAGACCATCCCACTGAGAGACAGACTGAGACAGAGATGAATTCCCCAACTCATATTATGAGACTGATACAGTCTTGATACCAAAACTGGACAAGGATAATGCTAGAAAGTTATGCCCAGCAATATCAGAGGCTAACATTAAGGCTAATCTCACGTAAAAGTATAGACTCAAAAACCCTAAATTAATATTAGCAAACCAAACCCAACAACATACGTATAGATTACGTATCAAGCAATGTACGTACAAATTATGTATCAAAAGCAAGTAGGGCTCATATCAAAAATGCAAAAGTGGTTTAACATCAGAAAAAGCTCTGATGTTGAGTCACCCCATTAACAGATTAAAAAATTTTTAAAAACAGATGATCAACTTAATAAATGCAGTAAGAGCATTTCATAAAAACTTAATACTCATTCAAATGAAAGATTCTTAACAAAACAGGGACAGAAGATATTTGTTTATAAGAGAGACTACTGAAAAAATAAGCAAACGTAATTCTTGATGTTAATATATGAGAAGTGTTCCTGATAGTCTGAAATAATAATAAGGATGCCTACTATCATCAGTCATGTTTATTCAATTATATTCAAGTTCTTAGTCAATGTAGTTGCGGGGGAGGGAGAAAGGGAAGGAGAGAAAGAAAAGGTATATGGACTAGAAAGGGAAAAACAAACCTATCATTATTTACAAATATTATAACTGCCTATACAAACAATAGATCTAATAAAAGATTTCAAGGTTGCAAAACCCAAGATCGGCGTATAATAACCAAAAGTGTTCCTATTCACCAGCAACCAAACAGAACACATAATCTTTAAAAAGAAATGAATTTAAAACAACAAATCTTCCATAAAATAACATAACAGATATACTCATGACCTTAAGGTGGGGAAATTTTTCTCAAATAGAAAAGAAAAAAAAAAAAAAACTATCCATAAAGGAAAAGACTGATAAATTGGGCTATATTAAAATTAAAAACCTCTCTCTCTGTCAAATAAAAATAAATAAAATCTTTAAAAAAACAAAAACAAAAACTTCTGTTCATCAAAAAACACCATTAAAGGAATGAAGAGGCAAGCATATCAGCAATACATATGCATGACAGAAGTCTTATCTGTAGAATATGTTAAAACTCCTACAAATCAATTTTTTTAATGGGCAAAAGACTGGAAAGGGGATAAACAAAGAGCCAATAAACAAATGTGAAGGGGCTCACCATCATTATCAAGAAATTACAAATTAAAACCCCAATGAGATATAACTACACACCCATGAGAATGGCTAGAAATAAAAAGACTGACTATATACCAAGTGTTCATGAGTATGTGGAGCAAAGAGAAAGCTAAAACATTTTTGGTAGGAGTGTACATGGCACGACCATTTTGGAGAACTGTATGTAGAGAAACTGAATATACGCATCCTCGAAGACTCAGAGACTCCCCCCTCTTGGTATATGTATACCAACAGAAAGGTATTCATAGGGGCACAAAAATCCACGCACAGGCATGTTCATAGTAGCATTCTTTATTTTAGTTCAAAACTGGAAGCAACCCAAATGCCCATCAACTACAGAAAGCATACACAAGTTGTGGTATAAGGCTTCACTAGGATACCGTAAAGAAAGAAAAATGCACAAACAAGTCCTACATGCAACAACATGGACATACCTCACCAAGAGATTGTTACCAAAGGAAGCCAGACACAAAAGAAGCCATACTGAGTTCAAAAAGGGCAAATCTAATCTACAGTGCTAAAGTCAATAAAATGGGTTATCTTTTGAAGGGTGACAACTGAAAGGGACATGTGGAAAGCTTCCAGAGTACGAGTGATGTTCTATATCTTGATATGGGTGATGGTTACAAGGCTGTGTTCACTTGATGAGAATTCTCTGAACTGTAACCACTTGTAAGTTAAGTATGTACTTTCCTGCGTATATGTTATAGCCCAAAAAATTACTTTAAAAATATACGTATGTGATCAAAATGATGATATCCCAGAAACAAACCTGATTAAAGAAATGTGTAAAATCTTTACAGAGAAAAACTCACAGTATGATTATAAATTTCATACACATGAGCAAATGGCCAGAAAGAAGAAAATGAAAAAGTGTGTGTATATGATGAGGAGAGATTTATACCACCAGATTCAAGATATTACGACAGTGACTGGAATTTAGAAAGGAATTTAGTGTAGGGAGAGATAAGTAATTCAACAAAATTAAGAGCTCAGAAATAAAATACATAAAAAGACACTTGACATGCTACAGAGGAGTAAAGAATGAGCTAATCAATACATGATATTGACAGAACTTATTACCCATTATAAAAAAGAAACTTTAGAAAACTAGATTCCCAACCTCACAACATAGTCAGGAATAAATTCCATATGAATTAAAAACCCATGAAAAGTAAAAATCTTTAAAATATTCAGAAGAAAATATAGAAGAATAGCTTTAAGACCTTGGATAGGTAAGGATTTGTTACATAAGACATAAAAAGTACAAACAATAAAGAAAAGGACTAAAAAATATGACCATATTAAAACTTATGCTCAACAAAAGATATTGGTAAGTAAAAAACAAAGCAGACAGCTATAACACATAAAATCAACAGAGGACTCTCATTCCTAACACAGAAAGAATCCAATAAACCTAGAAGAAAATGTCAAGCCACCAACTTTTTAAAGAGGCAATCAAAAAAGATAAAAGCTAAATAGCCAATTAAATTTGAAAAGATGCTGCTTACTCGCTGTAGCTAATGTGTGTGATGCTGTGCACATCAAGAGCCCCCCGTTTCCAGTTCTGCCACTAACTGGATGTGACCATGGACAAACATCTTACAAAGGCACCTCGGCTTCCTCATTTGTAAATGGTGAGATCTGTGCTTCACCAGATAATTACAAAAATTTCTTCACTGGATAATTCTAATTCTTTCACTGGATAAAGATCAATTTACTAAATATATGAATTTAAAAAAATTAGTGCGGGGCGCCTGGGTGGCTCAGATGGTTAAGCGTCTGCCTTCGGCTCAGGTCATGATCCCAGAGTCCTGGGATCGAGTCCCGCATCGGGCTCTCTGCTCCTTGGGAGCCTGCTTCTCCCTCTGCCTCTCTCTCTGTGTCTCTCATGAATAAATAAATAAAATCTTTAAAAAAAAAAAAAAAAATTAGTGCGACATACAGATTAAAAATTGTTGCCATTATCATTATTAACAGAATGTAAGTCTTCTAAGTATTAATGCTCTTTCAGCAACTTGTTCATTTTCCTATTAATAGAAAAGGGAAGGTCCATAAGAAACGATAAAAGGAAAAGCCAGTGGAAAAAATACTCAGCAGCATCTTTCCAGCACCATCTTTAGGAATGGACGCCCTGACCCACCACTGCAAAAAGCAGGTGTGCTTGACAATTTTCTGTCACTCCTTCATTCAGTCAACATTTTTTGATACATACTACATGTCAGGCCCTCTTAGGTACTAAACAAGATACAGACCCTATCCTCATAAAGTCCGGCATAGAAGACATATGACAAACAATAATTAACCTTACAATTAATTGATGAATTAATGAGTGCTGTGCTAAGGACGTCAAATGTAAAATAACCGTGCGTATGAGTGCACGTAACAAGGGACCTGACCCAGTCTAAGAGGTCAGAGAGGGCTTCCATGAGGAAACGCCATTTAAGCTGAGACCTGCGGTATATCAAAGTCTCATTCTTGGATGACACAAACCATTAAGATCATCCATCTAAATCCACGGCTCTAATACCTCCTCACCCAACAAACTTCTGGTTTTAATTTTACTTCCAACATAGGTCTTGCTATAAGGAGAAAACATGTTGATCTCTGCCACAAATAGTCTTATTTGCTTGGCACTTACATCTCTAATTCTAAAACTAAAAGAAGGAACTCAGACATTTTCTAAGCAATGGTAACATGGGAGGCAGCATGGTAATGAGCAAACAGACCCTCAGTTCTATTACTGTCTCTGTCACTGTGATATCTTTTAAGCTGATCAACTGAACTGTCTGAGACACCATGTCCTCATTCTTCCACAAGGGGAGAAATTCAGTACCTCTCCGAAATCCCTTCCAGCTATGACAGTTCAAGGGCTAAATGTAAGAAAGCGGGGATGAGGTCATATATCTCTACCTTTGGCTTTCTTGGTAGCAAAATGACGGATTGGTACAGCTGGAGAGGCCATGGATTGCCCACGGTCATTTTGTCTTCCACTCACTGTCTTCAGCATCCCTTCCGAAACAGGTCTGGTCCAGGCTGCAAGGGAGTTACAAAAGACAGGGTGGACCAAGCGGAAGCACCTTAAACCTGAGGCCATGACTGAAGACAATCCTTGTGAACATTCACTAAAAAGAATAAGACAAAAAGGAGATCTAAGTAAAACAGACTGTATTACAACTTCAGGAAATAATCTGTATTAATTATCAAGCAACCCCTGCAAACTGAGCTATGTGCTAGGCAATTTAAATATATTGTCTCCTCCCAACAGCCATCCAAGGAAATATGATTAGCCCCATATTACAGGATGAAGAGATTGAGGCTCACAGAGATTTAAGTAACTTGCCCATAGTCTGTAAGACTCCAAATCGCCAGGCTCTTTCTACTGTACCAAATGCTTCTTAGAGTACACAGGGAACACAGAGTAAGTAAATGTGCAGCAGCCTAAATCTTTAATGATGCTAATTAAATCCTTACATGAGAAAAGGCAAAAAATCTTGATAAAGTTATACTATAAAGAGGGAGGGCAGAGCACTGAAAGAGGACTTTAAACTAAATTAAAAAAAATCCTTTCAACAGGCATAAAATGACTGGAAAATTCACACGACAGCATTTAATTAAAATTTTCTTTGGTTCCTTATGCACTGATTACCAATTAGAATGCACTTTACTTTAATGTGAGTCTGAAGCACGGTTGAGGTTTGAGGTCTTCCATGTTACAGAACTGAAGCTCTGGAAAATGCCACCCTCCTCAGTGTTAACACAAGTTACACATTATACATCTAAAGTTCTGACCATGAAAAAATGCTAGCATCTAGCTAATGTACAGCTAGCATCTGCCAGGAATCTGGCTACCACTTAGTTAAAACCAAGAACAATTCTCATCAAATACCTGGAAGCTACTACTATCTTTGAAAATCTGTCCTACACCTCATTAAAAAAAAAGAAAAGAAAATCCTATCCTAAAATGTTGATGCAGTAGAACTAAATCAGAGCATGTGCTCTGTAGCCAGATGGAATCCAATCCTGGCTCCACCACTGACTAAATGCCTCTAACCTGACTCTGCACCTCGATTTCCTCAACTGTAAAATGGGGATAATTATAATTATTTCTTAGGGTGGGGAAGAATAAATGAGTTTATGCAGGTAAAATAATGGGCATAGTGCCCAGCGGACAGCAGGAGCCCCCAAAAGGGTATCTGTTGATAACTATCGCCTTTCCTTTCAAAAAGACTTTCACACAAGGGTCAGACACAATAAAGAAATCTTGCGTGTCATTATACAAGATAGCCTAGTCAGTCAAATCTGGATGTACTTTTAATTTTTTATTTAAATCCCAGTTAGTCACCATACAGCGTTATATTAGTTTCGTGATTCCACACTTCCGTCCATCACCCGGTGCTCGTCATGACTAGTGCCCTCCTTCATCCCCATCACCTACGTAACACCCAGCTGCTTTTATTTTATTTATTTTTGGATATACATTTCAACTTTGGACAGTTCACTCCACCTATCTGGGCATCACTTACCTCATCTGCAAAATGAGAAAAATAATATCCTGATCTTAAAATGAAATAGTAAGTATATGGAAAACACCTAGCACAGTGCCAGGAATACAGTATCTGCTTATTAAATGCTAGCTATCATTACCATTATTTCTTAAAAGAAAAGCAAATGAGCAGAGCAAAGGCAAATTATTTCTCCTGATATAATTTTTTTCTCTCCTGATGGGATTTTTAATAGCAAGGGATGCTAGATGTCATGGATTAGTATATGAAGTCAGTAAAAGCAAATCTGGATTAAAAAATGAAGAAGTATCTTTTCTTCTTCTTTAATTATTATCAATAGCTGCTATTAACTGAAGTCAGGCCCAGGCTGATTGCTTAGCTGTACATATTTCACTTAATCCTCCCAATAATGCCACAAAGAAAGTATAGTAATCTCCATTTTACAGATGTAGAAACTGAGGTTCAAAGAGACTGTCACTGTCCAAGGGCATGGAACTAATAGCTCTGCCCTATTTCGGCAAAACTGTTCACAAAATTTGGCTCTGAGTGAGGTTTCTATATCTAGATTTTTCTAATATAGCCAATGCCTAACCCACACTTATATCCAAATATGGCTGTATAATAATGTGTTTTTTTAATTTTTTTTTTTTTTTAATCTACGGGGTCTCAATTTGGCTGCTCCATTTAAGACAGGTTTCCTGGTGTTCCTGTTGCAGGTCATAATACCAATCCACAAAGCAACAGGAAATCAAAATGGGTTAGAAATAAACAACCTTTGACAGAAAATGCAGTACCCAAAAGGAGACCCAGTACATGTGAACCGGAAGACAACTCTATAAATAAACCACATTGCTGAAATGTTTTAGGCACAGATTTTAATTGCACAGAAGTCAGGAAATTTCAAAGTGGAAGTTCAATAAAGGCAGTCCCTTGGGCCCTTTACCTTAAGGACATGCATATTAACAGTTCAGCACAGAAGCATTAAAGTCGAGGAAAGGAACTGTCACAGGAGCCCAATCCAACAAAATTAACCTATACTGAGAGGAAAATGTGTCAGGAAGTACCTGGGCTTTGGACACAGTGTTGAACTGGAATCCCACACTTATTAACTTGGGTAGATCATTTCGCCTCTCTGAGCTGGTCTGCACCCCATTTTTACCATGGTGATATTAATGAGGCTTTAAAAAGATAATTATAACAATAAAAAATGAAACAATTGCCAACACTTACAGGTTACAACTATGTGCCAGAAACAATTCTAAGTGCTACATTGTATACATTAACTTATTTGAACCTCATGATATCACTATGAAATAAGTACTGTCAGTATACGCATTCTATGGATGAAGAAATAAAGGCACAGATAAATAATTTGCCCAAGGTTAGAATTCAGGCAATCTAGCTCCAGTCTGTGCTCTTAACCACTATACTATACTATTATGTACCTGAAACCACTCAGAGCAATTACTGACATTATTGTTGAAACCGTTGAAGTAATTTTTAAAACTGTTTGAAGCATATACTGTTTTTCCAAAGGTAAGGTTCTCAAAACTTGACCTTCTCTGTTTTCCATAGGTGTATTTTAATTTTAAAAAAGAACTAGATGAGGGACACAAAGCCCATTGTCCACTCTCCCAGCAACCTCTCCCAATTCAGCTGTATATTAGCTTATAATATGTACATTTTTAATACTTTCACATGTATTATCTGATAACCAGATATGTGATTACCACCCACATTTTACAAATAAGCACACTCATTTTTCATTTCCTGGACTATTCCTTCTGCTCCTAGGTCTTCAAAATACTGCTGAAGTTGAATCTGCTTGGAATGACTTTACCCCACCTCTTTAATGAACTACCTCCCATTTTTCTTTCAGATTTCAACTTAAGCATCGCTTTCTCAGAGGATGCCTTCTCTGGCTGTCTCCTCCAACCCAACTAGATCAAATGTCCTGTAGCCAATTTTGTTAACACCCTACACTTCTTCATAGTGCTTAAACAATATTAGCTAATATTTGTGTAGTTATTTGATCATTGCCTAATTCCCTCCACAAGACTATAACCATCGCAAGGACTGATCTATGGTTGTCTTATTCATTGCCATACCTCCAGTACCTAGCAGTCCCTAAACACAGAAGACACTGAATACAAGTGATGAATACATGAATGAAAGTCTAGAAAGAGCAGGTCCTTGACCAAGGTCACAATTATGGTTCAAGATTTGGAATCTAAGCCTCAGATTGAAGGTCCTGGGATCTACTTACCAACAGTGCCTCAATGATCTCTTGGTTTGCCAGATTTTCCACATAGAGATAGTAGGGTATGCTCTCTAAATTCAGTGCCATGTAAAGGTGTTTATAGCAACTGACTACATAGAATCTGACTATTCATAGTATCATGACTATAGTACAGAATCATGTCCCTGACATGGCCAAAGGAGGATAAGACACTTTAACAGGTGGAGAAAGAGCTTTTGCCTAAGAGCCAGAAGGTATGAATCCCAATATTCCTACTTCATCACTCCCTGCCAACCATCCTCTATAGATTCATAACTACCTGTACTCAAAAAGCATTTGTGCCAGCTCTAGGACTGACATATGACTTGTATCAAATCATTTCTCCTACCTAGGCTGTGTTTCCTCAACTGTAAAATGAAAGGTCAGACCAGATTCTGGGTAGTGCAATGGAGTGTAGTGAAAGGAAAACGGCACCAAACTTAGAGAAGACCTGGGAAAGAGCCCTGGTTCTAGCACTTCCTAGATAAGTGACCTCAGCTAGGTCGAACTCTCTGGACCTCAATCTCCTCTGTAAAATGTAGATGACAATACTATTTGTCAGGGTTACCAGGACGATCCAATGAGATAAGGGCTGCAGAAACACTCTGTAACTAGATAACAGTACTGAAATGACAACTGTTCGCCAAGGGAAGACACAGAGTAACAGCTAAAAGTTGAGGTTTTGTAATTTAAGCTCCGTCACTTACTGGCCGCACGACCCTGGTAGTTATTTCTCTGAGCTTCCACTTCTTCATCATGGCGGGGGGGGGGGGGTAGGATAATAATACCTACTTCCATGGGAAAACTAAATGTTCCTGCCAAACAGTGGGCTACTAAGTAGTGGCTACTATTGAGTAAGCTCCCTTCCCCTCCGCCACCCGCGAAGTTCCTAGCTGAGGAGACAAGCCCCGCCCCCACCCCATGAAACTCTCTGGGAAGCGACAGGTCCCGCCCCCAGCCTTAAAGGTCAAGCCGGACTCGAATGGAACCGGTCGGGGGACGGCGATCAGACTCCCTAAGGTCCCCCAGAAATCTCTGAATAGAAGTTTCTGGCACCCGGACCCAGCGCGCGCCTCCAGGCCGTGCAGAGGCCACTCACCAGCTATCGCCCTGGTTACTAGGAAAAGACCTACGCCACCGCGGTGACGGCGGCGGCGCGGGCGCCATGACGTCATGGGGCGGCGTGGCGGCGCAGGCGTAGCGCGTCACCGACGGCCTGGCAGGAGGCGGCGTTGAATCGGACGCGTTTGGAGGGCCGTCGGGCCGTGGAGTCGGATCTGCTTCTGGGGCATGAGCCGAGGGGACGACGCCGAGGCCACGAGGTGAGTCCCGCCGCGATGCGCCCCTGCACCCCAGCGCGGGCCCCGCGAGGGGCTCGTAGAGCAGGCTGCCCTAGCAAGACGGCTTCTCAGGCCCCGCCCCGGATTGTCCCGCCGCTAGCCCGGAAATAACAATCCGAGAAATGACCCATCGCGTCTGGGAATTCGCGGCCAGGAATCGGGAAGCCGGGGTTCCAGGCTTGACCCTGCCGTTACCGTTAGCTTTAGGAACAAGTGGCTTTGCTTCTCTGGACTTTAGTTTCCCCGTATGGTTGATTATTCCTGCCTTCCAGGTTGTTGCAGGTCAGATGCGAGGATAGATAACAGCGTTTTGTGAACTCTCTTAATCTAGGGGGTTGTCGCCATTGCAGACCTAAAAGATTTTGATAGTCGCATGCCATCTTGATCTCATTACACTTTACCGTTCCTCAAAAGGCCCTGGGCTGAGCTGTCATAGATACTGTCTCATTTAAGCTTCTTAACGACCCATGAGTTAGGGATAATCGGGCCCATTCTAGAAAGGAAGAAGAAACGGAGGCTCCAAGTGGAGCCTCATTTATTCATTCAGTAAATATCGAGCACCGGCCATGAGCCAGACAGTGTACTAAGTGCTGGGGATAGAACTATGATCAGGACAGGCAAGGCCCTGCCCTGTAGAAGCTTACATTCTAGTGAGGGAGACAGAATATGGAATAGGAAATAATATTGAATTAGCATCATCTGGAAAGGAAAGGTGGCTTTGATAGAGTCTAACAAGGAGCTCAACTCTTAGGGAAAGCTTTTCTGAGAAGACACTTACTAAATCATGCAATAACTGGGTACAAAAGCCAGGATTTGAATATAGATCTTTTGGCCCCATATCCTGTACTCTTGCCACCAAAACATGGTACCCTCCTGTGATATTAAGTAGTTGTTGGTATTGCTGTTTTCAGACATGAGAAAATCAGGAGGTCCTGTCATTGAAGCCTCATCTCAATGTTATGTCCTTTAGAGAGGCCTTCCCTCTCCACTAATTCTGAAGTAGTCCGACCCCGTCTCCCTGTCAAATCACCTTGCTTAATTGTGTTTGCAGCTGTCAGTAGTTACTTACATATTGCTTATTTATTTTCCTTTTGTACCCCCCCCCCCCGCCCCTCTTCCAAATACAAACATCCCTAGCGGAGACCTTGTTTGTTCACTGCTCCGTCCCCAGTATCTAGACAATGCCTAGAAATAGAAGCTCAATTTTTGTTTTGTTTTGTTTAATGAATGAGTGATCTGTAGGAAAATAGGAGGAAAGGAAAGCAGGGAGAAGACAAAATGTTTCTCCTCCTCTGTTTCTGTGTGTTTCACCTTTCTCTCAGGAGGCAAGAGCAAGATCTATAGCTTATTCATTTCTCTATTTTCAGCACATAGCCCTGGGTTTAGCAGTTAGCAGTTGCTTATCATGCATTGCTGAACAGATTGAACATGTGAGTGAGAAAGGGAGAAGAATACCCTCACATGTGGGGCTAGATAAACATGTTCAACAAACACGTGAGGCCCACCGTGTGCCAGACTTCATAGGCTCTACTGAGATGAATAAGAGGTAACGGCAGTGTTCAGTATATGTCATCTGTTGTTTTTGAGACATTTCCTGCAGCACTGACCTCTGAGGCACATCTGCTTACATGATACACATGGTTCCTATGTGTATTTTAGTTCTGAAGTCTGACACAGCCTGCCATCTTCCCAGCTCTTTTTTCTTTCTCTACCACATTATACATTTGTTAAAGCTTTATTTTACATCTGTCATCTCATTTTTGGCCCTCTCAGCAACCTTAAGTTACAAGCAGGGCAAGGTTTGATATGTAGAGATGAGGAAACAAGCTTAGAGAGAAGTGACTTCCAGTGGAAATGCCAAACTTTGAAACCAGGTCTTCTTGACACCCAGGTTTTTTTTCTTGCCCCTATTGTCTCCATCATAACCCTCATCCTCCCTTCCAGGATGGAAGACTAGTAATAATTTAAACTAACTTTAATTGAAAGCTTCTTAGGTGCGATGCATTGTTCTTAACGCTTTGGGTGTGTTAACTCAGTAAATCCACACAACTTTTATGAGGTATTACTCCATTTCAGAGATGAGGAAACTGAGGTACAGGATGGCAGAGTAACTTGAACAAGGTTACACAGCAAATAAACGGTGCAACTGGAATGACTAAGGAGGAATTAGTCTCTTCTTCTGAGTCTCTCCCAAAATATTAAACACGATACTAGTGAACGTTTATTGATTGCTTACTGCTGTTAGATGCAGTGTTTAATGATTTTTCATGCACTATCTCTAATCTTCGCAACAACCCTATAAGATAAGAACTGTTCTCTCCATTCATAATATGAGGAAACGGAGGCTAGAGTGTTCAGATAATTCTCCATCAAGTCACACAACCAGCTTTCAAACCAAGTTCTAACTCCAAAATCTACGGTCTTCAATTTCCTAGATTGCCTCTTTCATGAGGAAGACATGTATGCTGCTCTTTCCCACCCATCTCCTTCAGTGCCATTAAGACTCTTCTTTCTGGTGATTTCCAAGACTTGTTTTGGGTGACAGTTTTTAAACTGGAGTCATGTAGTAATAGAGCCTTTGGCCTCCTGCCCAGTCTGCCTCTGGCTTCAGAAGAGGAAAACTGTAGTTTCTGCACACAGAACCACGCCCCTTTCACCTTAAATGGAAGCTTTTGCACTCTGGCTGCCAGAGGAGCTGTCCCAAGGGAACTGGTGCTGGGGCCCTGGTTGTGGAATGACTGAGGCCTTTGAAGAACTGGCCAGAGCTTGCCCTCCTTGAATAAATGTTTGTTAATTGAATTTGAAGCCTCATGTTCACACAGTGTTGCTCCTCTCCTGCCTGAATGTTCACGTTTCCTTTAGTTTTTCATAGAGATTGATGGAAGCAGAAACCAAAACTCTTCCCCTGGAGAACGCATCCATCCTTTCAGAGGGTTCCTTGCAGGAAGGGCACCGGTTATGGATTGGCAACCTGGACCCCAAGATCACAGAGTAAGTCTAAGTCCTCTTAAGTCGTTACCTACAACACTGGGATGTTTGCACTGATAACGTTCAGAAGAATTTTCAAGAGATGCAGGATATATTTTGGCCCTTTTGTTTATGTTTTAATTATCTTTGAAGGGTATGTGCTTTTGTTACTAACCTGTTATGTTGACATTTTTCTCACGTTTGAACTCTTCTGCAAGAACATAGGCTTGGGTATTGTTTAAAACATATACCTCTTTTTTTCCTATTTGCCAAAGATGTTTTCCTGTTTTCACCAATTTGAATCCTTGTACCCAGTGACACAGACATTATTTTCTAGAATCAGCCCACAACATACTTTCGTTCCTCAAAATGAAGGAACAAGCAGGAGAAGTCTCAGTACCTTCACAAACAGGCAGACGGTACCACTTGATTGTAATTCATGTGAAGCAGCCATGGAACCATAGAAGGTCGGAGCTGGAAGGCATCTTAGAGATCACATCAGTCCCTTCGGTTTTCATTCAGTCGTGAAATGATGTGAGTGCCTGTTGTGTGCCGAGTGCCCATTTGTGCCTAGTGCCATGCTAAGCAGTGCTCTGACTTTTTAAATCTGAGGAACCTTGTCTTAAAGTAACCAGAACCTGTTTATAAAATAAAAGCTCAGAGCTGCTCTGATTACTGGGGAGGGGAGGGTGGGGAGAGGTCCGCCCAAAGCCTTTTGGCAACCGCCACCCTTTCTTTGGTGGTAAGTTATAGGACTCCGTGGAGCATACTTTTCAAGTGAAAAGCTCTGATATGATCCAGCTCCCTTATCCTACAGTAAAGGAAACTGGGGCCTAAGACATGGAAGTATCTTGCTCAGGGTAACAAAACTAATTAAATTGTCCTGACTCCCCACTCTTTGTACTGTGGCCATTATAGTGGAAAGCAGTTTCTTAGCAGAGAGAATTAAGAGGTTTTTTCTTCTCCCAGTTGCTCAGTAGGTACAGGGCTATGGTTGGTGGCAGGATGGTTAAGGAGTGAGTAGATCGGGCTCTGTGGGATCAACGCTTAAAGCAAGCATAGGGTATGCCATCAGTCCTAAAAGTTACTCCCTTTGGAATAGTGTTAAAGGCAGGGTGAGAGGAGACAAGAGAATCCACTTATTTGAATCAAGGATGAGAAGAGGTGTATATAGGATTGGGATTGGGAGAAAGAAGGGGATGTGAACTAATGGATCAGGATCATAACAGAAAGTTTAGTTCTTTAATCCTACTCAAGTTGAGATCAGCTAAATATAGATAACTTTGGTCCCTCTAGGAATTATGATGCCATTTAAGATATGTTGTCCCCCATGTTATGTTGCCTTGGTCACTGGGGCCCTGGAATGAACTGTGCATTTATTTTGGTTCTCTTTATGGCTTGTGGCATTGAGGATGAATGTGTGAATCAGCCAAACCTCTCAATCATGTCTGTTGATCAGTGAAGCTGTTTCCATCATCTAAAACCCAAGCTGTGAGGGGATGTTCCCAAGAGTGGTTTCCATTCCCACCTCTGCTTGTGTGCATGGAAATCTGGAACACGGAAACACTGTTCATTGTTTTGGCTGCAATTCACTGTAATGAGACTTGTTCTAATTGTGTCCTGATGCTTGATAGGAAGATTCAAATAGGCATCTGCCCCCTCAGTTTATGTCATAAGTTGGAGTATATGAATGTTTTCTTCAGTTAGAGCATCAACAGGAACATTGAAAGAAAACTTTCCTACTCGTATCTCTGCCCTTTTTATATCAGGCCAAAGGTGGACCTCATGTACTGAACTGCAGATCAGGGCTTTGCAGGGTCTGCCTGTGGCTTCCCTACCAGTGGGTCACCTGCGATTTTGTTTACTCTTTTTCTTTTCTGGATTCCTTATGTTAAAACATGTTCTCTCCCAAACAAACTGACTTAT